AACAGGTTCTGCTGAGGGCGCAGCTCAACAAACCCCCCAAAAAAATACATGTGGCAGCACAGTTGGTGAAGATCTAATTCAGCTTTGGTGGTGGAGGAGGTAGCGGAGAGCCATCGCGCAGATCAGCACTAATGGTGTTGGTGGCATCTCGGTCCCGGGGGCCGAGCAGCCGCTAAAGATGCAGATATCCACATATTTTGAAAACAGGGTCAGTAGCACGTTATAGAGGCACACGCTGGATCACAGGCTTATTTCGGGCCGTCCAAAGCGTCCAGACTAGAACCCCGATAATCTTTTTGACTATAAACAGTAGGGCAAAACACCCCACTGCATTTTTTATAAATAACCAAGCAAGGTCCAGAGATACAAAGAAAGAAGAAACACAACAAGAGCTTGAGAGTAGCCCCTAAAAACAGAAGAAGAAGAAGAAAGAGAAGAAACTACAGAAGCTAGAAAAACCAAAAAGAAGGCTAAGGCTAAGGCTAAAGCTAAAGCTATATCCCTAGGCAGGAAGGAGCTGTCAAAAAGAAAAATGAAACTATCCTTGAAGATCCAGCCATGAGTTGAATTGGTTGGCATGTTTTGGTCTCATCCTGTGCTTGAGTAACTTCAGCTCCATCAAGAAAATGTTCTTACAACCTTGAAAAGTGGGGTGGATATGTTCAAAGATCTTGTTGTTTCTGGAAATCCAAATAGCCCATGAGCTAAGTATTATTATGTCCATGAAGAATGGGAGTCTTAGCCTTTCCTTAATGTCTCGGAATGCCTCAAGAATAGATAAATTTGGTGATCTGGTGGGACAGATGTGATCCCAACATCTCTTAGCAAAAGTGCATCCCCAGAACAAATGATACAGAGTTTCCTCCTGTTGGCACCCCCTGAGAGCACAGTTATAGTCCTCTAGAACAAATGTTTTCCTTCTCAAAAGGTTTCTTGTATTTACTCTGTCATGTAATAGCATCCAGAAGAACATTTTGTGTTCAGGTTGGCATGATGAATCCCAAATCCAGTTGAAGTGTGGGGGAGTTTGTTTGAAGCCAATCATAACATTAAGCCTTGGCAGATGAAAAGTGTTCATTACCCCAGATATAGCTCCACGTGTCTGTGTGATTCTGGTACTGTGATTGCCTCATAGAGTAACACATCTCTTCAAGCTGTAAGAATTGCTCATGGGCCTTCATTGATAAAGGAAGGTGAAAAAGATCTTCCAAATACTTTGTGGCAAGAACCCGCTGCGCTGTAAGTTTGACATTAATCACAAAAGAGAAAAGATGGGGGAACTGATGCTGCAAGAGTTGTTCAGACCATAAATCAAACCAGAAAAAAGCACTTCTGCCATCTCCCAAGTTGCACCTTGCTAAGCCTTTAAACTGTTGAACTAATTGCAAGTTTGCCTTCCACCAGAAAGAACCTACTAACTCATCTCCTGGCAACTGGTCCTCATTGTAATGAGTCTCCCAAATCAATTTCACCCATGGAATGTCATGTCTGTTGTAGTATTTGTGTAAATTTTTCATAAGCAGTGCCTTGTTCTGTGTGAAGATATCCATGACTCCTAGCCCTCCCTGACTCTTTGGTCTACAAATAGTGGTCCATTTTACTAAAGCTGGTCTATGGTCTTCCATATCTGGTCCTCTCCACAAGTAGTGCCTGGAATATTTCAAGATTTGCTGCTTAATAGTCACTGGTACATCCAAATAGCTCATGAAGAATATTGTGAGAGATGCCAGAACTGATTTAACCATTAACAATCTGCCTGCATAGGTCATAAATGTGGCAATGCCAGCCAATCTTTTTGCAATCCTATTAACAAATGGTAAGCATTGCTCCACTGTTGGTTTGTGAAGTCCTAAAGGAAGCCCAAGGTATGTGAAAGGAAAGTGTCCCATCTGACAATTAAGGGTTCTAGCATAAATTTGAGCCCTCTCTTCTTGAATATTAATAGGTACCATGATAGACTTCTGGTAATTTACTTTTAAACTAGTGGCAGATGCAAAAGTGTTCAGTAGGGCTTTAAGACAGATGAGTTGTCTAGAATCAGCTTGCATTATTAGCAAGATGTCATCTGCATACTGGACAATTGGAAAGTCAATGCATGAATTAATTTGCAGAGGTGCATGTCGGTGTCAAAACCGGCGGATCTCGGGTAGGGGGTCCCGATCTGTGCGTCAAGGCTGATGGTAACAGGAAGTAAGGGACACAGATGTTTACCCAGGTTCGGGCCCTCTCGATGGAGGTAAAACCCTACTTCCTGCTTGATTAATATTGATGATATGGGTAGTACAAGAGTAGATCTACCACGAGATCGTAGAGGCTAAACCCTAGGAGCTAGCCTATGATGGTATGAATGTAATTGTGATCGGACTTCTAAGGACCAACCTCTCCGGTTTATATAGACACTGGAGAGGGCTAGGGTTTACATGGAGTCGGTTACAAGGAAGGAAATATAACATCCGGACCGCCAAGCTTGCCTTCCACGCCAAGGAAAGTCCCATCCGGACACGGGCCGAAGTCTTGAGTCTTGTATCTCCACGCTTCAATAGTTCGGACGTTGTACACAGTCCGTCAGTCCGGATACCCCCTAATCCAGGACTCCCTCAGTAGTCCGGCGCGTAGTATTGTCTTCAGCATTGCAAGGCGGGTTCCTCCTCCGAATACTCCAAAGTAAATACCGAACACTCAAATCGTGTCCGGATCTGGGAAATGATCTTCGCATACCACCGTAGAGAGAATGATATTTCACAAATGCAATCTGCTGACAACTTTTCCTGATGACATGACACATTATTATGATCGGATCCACTATTCGAACCATTTCCACACAACCAGCTACAACGCATATCACGAGGCGGTTTCTGTGACACGTCTTGTCAAAGCAGAGATC